TAAAAAATTCCTAGAAAAACTCCCCCCCCCCCCCCCCCCCCACCCCCCCTTCCTCCCCACAATGAGTAACCGACGGGCGACCGACGGAAAACCGACGAACCGTTGACGTTCCGGACAGGCAATGGCATCGCTGCGGGGACCCCAGTCTCGACTGCTGGAAGAGACCTGGCGGGGAGGCGACACTCGCGGGCCCGCCCTGGTCCTCTACCACGTGACACCCGGCCGGGTCTTCCACTCCCACCTCGGCGACGACGCCTTCCTCCCGACGCTGCTCGGAGCGAAGACGATCCGGATCGACCGCTTTCCCAACGGCGTGAGTTCCAAGCTTTCTTTTTCCTTTTTCCCGCCAATTTCACGCTTCGTCTCTCGCTCTCGTTTCGCAGTTGCGAGAGAGCCCGAAAGGTTTCGCGCGCGACGAGAGAATCGCGCGACAAGACCGCGAACGAAAGGGGGCGGGGCTTAACGGCAATTCCTCCCATCGTATCGTGACGCAATTCGTGACGTCATTTTGTTCTCGTCAAATCGTTTTCTCCCCTGCCTCCGCCTCCGATTCTCGGAATCGCTCTCAAAGGGTCTCAACGTCGCTCGTTTTGAGCCGCGTATCTTCCGAAGCGGTTCCGTTCCTCTCTCAGCTGCAGAATTAGCTTACGAATTACTTAATTGTTCATGGCTTCTATGGTAGACGAAACGTTTCATCATCGGCGAAGATGTAAGAAGAGCAGAACAAGTCGAACTACGATTTGCATCATATTTTAAATTATCGTATCATAAAATGACGTGAGCTTGATTGCCAAAACTACTTTCTGTCGAAGCACATCGTGATTTGGTGAGAATCGTAACATCTTTCAGGTCGAACATGCGAGACTACGTTTCTGCTGGTAACGATGTTCATAACGCTAACAAATCAGGAGGAGACTTTGTAACACGTTTGAAAATGTCTAAAATCAGTTTTGTAAATGGTAGCTCCGAAGACCACTCATTTCCGCTCGGCCTCATGAGACACAGAATCTCATTCGAGCTGTTGGAAGCTCGCAGCAGCGAAAACAAAACGCAAAACGACGCAGAAACCGGAATATCCGTCGTTTGATCCATCCTGCAAGACGCGATAACGAGGTCGTCAGGCGAGCGACAAAGGGGCGGGGCCTGTTTGTGACGTACCGACGACGTCATCCAATTCCCGACCCGGGAGCTCGCGCCCTCCGTCACGAGCAGGGAACCGAGGGTCGAAGATGGACGCGGCGCAGGTGGGACCTCGTCTCGTCCGTCGTCGGAGGTGAAAAGTGGGGAGTCCGACTGCGCGGGAAAATCTCTCAATTTTCACCTCGACGCATCGGGTTGCGGGCTGCGGCGCGTCGGGTTCAGGATCGAAGGGCGTTAGTGCGTGCGATGATACGTTTGTTTTCGAACCGATCCTTGAAGAACGCGAAGGTTGGAGAGGGTGTTGGGATACCTTTTATCGCCTGATCCTATGCTTCCACGAAACCTCGGTCGATCTTCCTCCTCCTCCTGGAGGAGAAAGATCTCCTGTCGAGTGTCGGCATGGAATCGCTCGAGAGCGTGGGGCTGGGAACGTCCTTCCTCCACCGTACGCTCCGAACGACCGCGGAGATTTCGCCGCGGATAAAGACCGGCCGACGTCGACGATGTCGCTCGTGCAGCTGGTGACGGTGAACTGCATCCCGCTGCTGCACTGGGACCTGGAGGCGAAGGGCGGGGTCGTCCACGTCCTGCAGGAGGCGCTGGACCCTTCCACGACCGACGTCAGTCTCATGGACGTCGTGCTGCGGGACTCGCGACTCCAGACCTTCGCGACTCTGCTCGTCCAGGTTCGTTCGCATTCTCCTCGTCGCCCTCGGCTCCCCCCGGTCGACGTTGCCTCTTTCTGCAGGCTCAGCTGACGCACCGGCTTCGGGATCCGGGCACGCTCACCGTGTTTGCTCCCACCGAGGAGGCTTTCGCTCGGCTCCCGACGAATTTCCTCGAGAACATCCTCTACGATCCCTCCGCCGTCCAGGGTGAGAGCGAGGAACCTGCCTGGTTCAGCCTTCATCTCTTGCTGTCTTTCGGTGCCGGAATATCCGCTTTCGAGGAGACGAGAAGCTTTATTTCATTTCAATTAGGATTTTTTTAAATTAAGATATATACATATATATATATATATGTATTATTATAAAATCGTCCCTAGAACGCAACGTGAACAGAATGTTTCGTGACGTGCCTCATTAGTCGAAATCGAATTTATATTCAGGGATAGTAGGTTTCTTCACGATACCGCTAGGCACCCCAAAACGTGCAGTCTTGTGTTGAGACGAGTTCATACTGATTTATTAAGGTCAGTTTGCAATAGCACACAGAAAATACTTTTCATTACTGCAAGCACTTGGAGGTCGGTACTCGAGACACACGAGAGGCAAAGTGTGGACTCTTTCGTAGATCTTTTCCGAGTGGGAGTCGATCTGAGTGAATTTGGGCTCGACTGCATCGAGCCTAGCCCGAACTCAGATCAGCGACTCCATCTCGATTCCAGAGGATCACGATACTCATTTTTATGTCTCACAGAATCGCTACAGTTTGGTGATGCCTTGCGATACCAACGAGAATTCGATCCCGTTTTCGAAAGTAATTATTTTCAGCTAATGATTTTTCCGCATGCGCGTATGGAGTTGACTCGTGGAGATGGAGGGCAAGGCAATCATTCCTTTAAAGAAATGTCAAACGTCGTGTTCTCGCGATAAATTCCACTTTATTTTTTGGCATTCCGTTTCGCAAACGTCCTTCACGGCTTCGGCCAGGACGTGTGAATCTCTCGGATTGAAAGTAGAAACTCACGGGAGTCGGGAACTCCTCGGTCGAGGGCACGGAGTCGCGTCGCCGACGAACCGATTGCTCCGAGCCCTTAGAAATCGCAGGACTCGAGGGCGTTGCACCGTCTCGATCATCGTCGCGGATGATCGCGGCCTGCGATCATCCGCGTGGACATGCCGGAGGGGGAGAAGAGGACGAAGGGGGATCGGAATGGCTGGACGAAGCGTCTCGTTTCCTTCGCGTGCGATGCGAAGTCCGAGGGTCCAGGATGGGCCATGCCCTTCCGGTTCGTCGTCGGCGTAGGGCGGGAGTAGCAGACTCGATTAGGATGGGGGTCGGATGGAAGCCTTCAGGGGTGATTAGGGGCCACGATAAAAGTCTAATACCTCATCTTTTATGCAAACAGGCTGAAATTTGCAGTGCTTTTCCGTAACCGACTGTCGAAGAGGACGTCGTGGACCGGACAAAACGGACCGGCGAGCCGGATCCGGCCCGCGAGCCGTCAGTTTGACACCTCTGGCGTAGGTTCTATGCACGAGGAGGGAACGCGATCTCTCGGCATCGGTCCGTTTCGAGGCGTCGTCATCCCCACTCTAGGGAATTTCCATTTACGATCGTTGCGACCTTCGATCTGTTCCTCGAGATACTTTCCTCGTAATCTTGGGCCTCGATACCTCCTCCTCGACCCCTCGCGTTCTCCCCACCGACCTGAAAACCCGAAGCGTTCCCTTCTCTTCCCTGCAGCCCTGATGGAGAACCACCTGACCCACGGCGCCCGCTGCACCTCCACCCTCACCGACAAGAACGCGGTCGCCACGCTCGAAGGACGGGATCCCCTGACAGCCTCCTGCAACGCCAGCCACCGCTTCGTCGGTCCGGACCAGGCCCTCATCGTGCAGGGGAACGTCCCGGCCTCCAACGGCTTCCTGCACGTCATCGACCGCGTGCTCATTCCGCGGAAAGGTAAGGTCGTCCTCGTGCGGCGCGATCGTGTCGAGTGCTGGATCCTTGGGGATCCGGGAATCGGTCGAATCGTGTACCGGCAGGTTAATCGACTTACTGGTCCTTTTTCGTTGCGTTTCCCTCGTATAGAGGAAAACCGATTTTTCAGAATCGTTGTAAACGCTGAAAGAAATCGGAAAATACAATAGATATTATAGTAGGAAATGTCGGTGGATGACTTTGTAAGGCATCCAGGGTCCCAGCACGATGCAATTGAAAGCCGGCGGAACTCGTGTCGCATTGCAGCGAAGTCGCTGTGGGAGATCGCGGCGGAGTTGAAGCTGAACACTTTCCTCTCCCTGTTGAAACCGGCGGGTCTGGACGTGGTCCTTCGGGAGTTGGGGAAGACGACCATCTTCGCCCCCACCGACGCCGCCTTCGCCGGTCTGCTTCTGAGCTCTTTCCGGCGCCTCGTTCAAGTGGGATTCTCGCGAGAATTGCGGAACGACTTCTCGCTTCGAATCGCGGTCATCCGGAGGGATTCGGCACGTGCAGTCGGTTCGTGGAGCCAAATGCAACTGGCGAATCCGTTCGGATGGGGCCGCGACGCGCCGCGTCGTGCTCGTGCCCTCTCGCGATTTTTCTCGCGGATTCCCGCTCTCGCGACGCGCCGCCACTCTCACGCGAATCCCCCCCCCACGCCCTCTGACTTCGATCGGGTCCACGTCGAAGAGGTGGGGAACGAGACGCTGACGGGGGAGCCGACGAAGCTGAGGGCGCTGCTGCTGGGTCACATGGTGCACGGGAGCCACGCGTCGCAGGGGATGTCAGACGGGCAGGCCCTGCAGTCGAGGAGGCTCGGTCGGCTCAGGGTCAAGACGGGGAGGAAGGTATGTCGTTTGTCGTCTCCCGTTTTTTTTTTTCTTTTCGGAGCGATTTCTTGGAAAGGCGGTGGGGATCGGTGAGATTTATTTCGCCGGGTGAGTCCTTCCCTTCAAAAAACATTTAAAAAAAAAAACCAATATTTTGTTCATGCATTCTTGCGTTTGTCTGCCTTTTTCAGATAACGAGTCGGGTCGGATAAAGCTTTTTTCTTTCTCTCATGGCAGCTGAAGAGCGTCGAGGACGCCCTCGTTTTGGTGTCGGACATGGAAGGGCTGAACGGGGTGATCCACGTGGTGGACAAGGTCATCATCCCTCCCAAGGTCACCATCGGGGAATACCTTCGCAATCACCCCAATCTCACCCAGTTCCTCGAGGCTCTCAACGCGGTACGATCTGGAGATTTCGTCAAGTTCCACCGAAAATTTTATTTTTTTGATTTTTCGTCGATTTTTTTTTTCTTCTTTCCTCCGTTCTAAACGAAATTACAATTTTAAAATTCACATTTGCTTTCTTTTCCTCTTTTGTAAGACGGAAGATCTGATGAGAAAGCTCGATTCGGATCCCGGGCCCTTCACGGTGTTGGCCATGGAGAACCTCGACCCCGTGGAATCGGCCAGGGAATATTACACGTTCCAGAGGGTGTCCAAGGCCACCGACCTGCTGCACTTGGTTTGACTCGCTCCTCCTTGCATTTCCATAGAGCTTGACGTTAATCGAATTCAACCTAAGATTAGCTGAGTTTTGCTCCTTATTCATGTCGCAGTAGATTTGATTTTTAAACGCGATATCGTTATGCATTTACTCAAAATTTTGCAATTTTTTGCTCGATCACAATCGAACTTTTTTGCACGGCTTAACCGCTCGAGAACGAAACTCCACCGCTACATGAAACTTCTGGTTCGAAAAATGAACCAGGTGAGGAACCACGTGGTGGAGGACCTGATCCTGCTCCGCGGCCTGGACGACGAAGTCTACTACGAGTTCCGGAACCTGAACGGCGAGCCGATCTTCGTGCGGAAGGAAGGAGGCAGCGTCTCGGCGGGGATCGGCTCGGTCTCGCCGCGGGGGAGGGACGTCCTCTGCGCGAACGGGGTCGTGCAGCATGTGGATCGGTTGCTTCAGAGGCCTTACTGAGGGCGCCCCGGTCTTTTTCGTTTTTTCGGTCAATAAAGATTTTTCTCGTCGATTCGGTGAAGGTTAGGGTTCGAATGCATGAAAAATGGATTCATTCGCTTTCGTTGTCGCGGGGGAGTCCAGTCGCAGCTGGCTTCCGTGATGAATCGCAAGCAGATCCTTCTTCGACGTGTGCGTGTCTTTTTTCGTCCCGGAAATTTTTTTTTTTCGGTTTCCGTTTGAGTCGAGTCGTTTTCCCAGGCGTTGTCGTTGGGGTTCGGGGGGTCCTGGGGTTTCCTTCACGGCTGCCTCATCGGGTACACGACCGTCTTCGTCCACGACTATCTCAAGGATCCGGATCGGCCTTTCACGCTCGACATTTGGCAGCGAGACCTCTTCGGTAACGGAATCTCATTCGTCTTGCAGCTCGAAATCTGCGACGTCAGTAAAAAAAATGAAATGCGGCTTCGATTCGCCTGTAACTTGGCCTCGAGCCGCGAAAGGCTGCGTTCGTTTTTCTCAGCCGGCCGAGAAACGACGTCAAGGCGACGTCATCGTGACGTCACGGCATGGCCGTGAAGCCGATATGGCGTAAGTCGTAGGAGTCGAGATGGTTTCGCCCACCGCCAGCAACTACTTTCTTCTCGCTTCGTTTCCGCCCTAGGCGTATTGAGAAACACTTCTCGATCTGAAGTTTGGTTGTTTAATTTTCGGTGACTGTCCGTAAGTAGAATGCTTAGGTGTCCTACAAGGACAAAGTCGAGGCTGGACCTGAGAATATGCTGGAACGCCGTGGTGTGAAATAAATTCATCAGTCATACGGAGGGATTGTCGGCTGGATTGTGACTTGCTGAGGAAACCAACGCGCCTTCATAGGAGATAGAGTTTTAATGAATTAAAATAAAATAAAAATGAGAGGGGGGGGGGTCTATCGAGGAATTTTGAATGGGGAAATGTCTGGAGTGTCCGAAAGAATCGTGTTAAAAGCGAATCCGGGGGACCCAGGGAGCATGATCCACTTGGGGACGCTACTGGGGTTCCTGGGGTCCTGGATCCTCACGAGCGCGCTGGGACGGAAGTGGTGCGTCATCGCCTGCCTCCTTCCGTATGGGGTCGGGTGGGTGGTGGTCGCCCTCGCGAGGAGTCCGTTCATGCTGCAAGCGGGTCGGTTCATCTCGGGGTTCTTCCTGCTCACGTATCCGGCGACGCAGCTGCACATGATGGAGTCGTTCTATCCGAGGCGGGTGCCGAAGCAGATGGCGGTCTCGCCGATCGCCGTCGTCTTGGGGATATTGGTCACGTATGCGCTGGGGTTGGTGCTGTCCTGGAAGCATCTGGCCATCTGCAATGCCGTCATGGTCGTCCCGTTGGCCGTGCTCTTTCCTTTCTTGCCGCAGAGTCCTTTCCTCCTTGCGGCGAAGGGGGAACACGAGATGGCGCTGGATGCCATCGAGTGGTACGGCGTGGAGACGCATATGGCAAAGATGATCCTCAAGGCCATTCAGGTGAGTTCTGCCTTTCTACGTCGTTTCGAGGGGATCCATTATTTTCTACGGCCCCACCGCAGGCATCGATCCAAAAGCATCCTTCCGTCGAATAATGAAAATCGCTCGAGTTATGTACGATTGCGTTGCATGTGGGGTTGCCTGCGTCGGGATGATGTCATTCCTTCTGCTCCTCCCTTACATTACTTTGAGAAGAGGCTGGATGTCTCCTGGACTGTAAGTGATAACAGTAGGTAGTTTCGGAAGCGACCGAGGTGCTTCCATATAAAACAGTTCAACTTAGTATGGTCATTATTTGTGGGTGGGATGATGCTGGGTTCGAGTGTTCGAGAGACTCGAGATATGAAAACGGGTAGATGTGCCTCTCCGCTTCCTGGCCCAAACTCAACCTCGAATGAGCGCCGTTTGGTGGTGGATGGCCTTCAACCGTAACTTATACTCACTTCGACTAGATGTCACGAGTGTTATTACCCGCAGGGCCGTGGAGGGTGTATGCAGGGTAGTAGTCACTTCACCCCCGTTACGAAATCATCCCACAGGGAATTTGAAGGCTTCCCCTTGGACGTCAGAACGCAAATCGACGTCCCAAATCATGGACCTCCAGGTTAAGATGGGCTTCATCTTGTCTCCATCGAGTTCAGTGCACCTAAAAGCCACGCGTGTTGAAATCCCCCGTATCTCGCTTGCGGTTTGATTGGCTGTCTCAGAACTCTCTCCAGCGTCAGGAAATCTCCTTCATTTGCAGGCCTCCAAATCTGAAGACAATGCTCTGAATGGGACCTTATTAATGATCTATTAAGGTCAGTTTGCAATAGCACACAGAAAATACTTTTCATTACTGCAAGCACTTGGAGGTCGGTACTCGAGACACACGAGAGGCAAAGTGTGGACTCTTTCGTAGATCTTTTCCGAGTGGGAGTCGATCTGAGTGAATTTGGGCTCGACTGCATCGAGCCTAGCCCGAACTCAGATCAGCGACTCCATCTCGATTCGAGAGGATCACGATACTCATTTTTATGTCTCACAGAATCGCTACAGTTTGGTGATGCCTTGCGATACCAACGAGAATTCGATCCCGTTTTCGAAAGTAATTATTTTCAGCTAATGATTTTTCCGCATGCGCGTATGGAGTTGACTCGTGGAGATGGAGGGCAAGGCAATCATTCCTTTAAAGAAATGTCAAACGTCGTGTTCTCGCGATAAATTCCACTTTATTTTTTGGCATTCCGTTTCGCAAACGTCCTTCACGGCTTCGGCCAGGACGTGTGAATCTCTCGGATTGAAAGTAGAAACTCACGGGAGTCGGGAACTCCTCGGTCGAGGGCACGGAGTCGCGTCGCCGACGAACCGATTGCTCCGAGCCCTTAGAAATCGCAGGACTCGAGGGCGTTGCACCGTCTCGATCATCGTCGCGGATGATCGCGGCCTGCGATCATCCGCGTGGACATGCCGGAGGGGGAGAAGAGGACGAAGGGGGATCGGAATGGCTGGACGAAGCG